TCTTTGACTCGTTTTTGTTAGGCACGGGAGGTGGGGGTGCTCCTGGAATTAAACTCAGTAGGGGAGGAAGGGCAGGACATGGAAGCACACAACTTGCCGCCGGAATTTGATGGCCTTATCCAGGAATTCCGCCACGTCTTTGATACTCCAAAAGGGCTACCACCGCGTCGAGTAAGGGACCATTGGATAATCCTGCGAGATGGAGCGACTCCTCCCAATGTTCGGCCTTACCGGTACCCGCAGATACAAAAGGGGGATATAGAAAAATTGGTCTCGGACATGCTGGCTTCAGGCATCATAAGGCCTAGCAGTAGCCCCTATGCCAGCCCGGTACTTTTGGTTAAGAAAAAAGACGGCAGTTGGTGATTCTGCATTGACTACCGAGCCTTGAACCAGCTCACGGTACCGGATAAATTTCTAATTCCGATCATCGACGAGCTGCTGGATGAGCTACATAGAGCCATGGTCTTTTCCAAATTGGATTTGAAGGCAGGATACCACCAGATACGTGTGCGGGAAGGCGACGTGGAAAAGACGGCGTTCCGCACTCACGAGGGGCATTACGAGTTTCTCGTTATGCCCTTTGGCCTCACTAATGCGCCGGCCACATTTCAATCGTTAATGAATTCGGTATTTCGCCCTTATCTCCGGAAGTTTGTATTGGTTTTTTTTTATGACATACTGGTTTACAGCAGGTCTTGGGAGGAGCATTGCGGGCAAGCAGGAATCCTTATTTGCCAACTACAAGAAATGCATTTTCGGCCAGCAGAAGGTGGAATACCTTGGCCATGTCATCTCCGCTGAGGGTGTGTCCGCCAACCCATCCAAGGTCGAGGCCATGCTCTCGTGGCCTACTCCTCGGAACGTTAGGGAACTTCGTGCATTTTTAGGGCTCACGGGCTACTATAGGTGGTTTGTGAGGGGTTACGGTACCCTTGCCCGTCCCCTCACCAATCTGCTTAAAAAATGGGCTTTCCTTTGGACCGACTTGGAGGACGCAGCCTTCGTTCAATTGAAGACAACAATGACGGAACTCCCCGTTTTGGTCATGCCGGACTTTACTAAACTGTTTGTGGTGGAGACGGATGCCTCCGGAATGGGGGTGGGAGCCGTCTTAATGCAGGAAGGCCGACCCCTTGCTTACTTTAGTAAGGTGCTGTCAGCCTCGACCCGGCTGACCTCAGTATATGAGCGCGAGCTCCTGGCCATCGTGCTCGCTGTGCAGAAGTGGAGACATTACCTCTTGGGGTGACACTTTGTCGTGCGTTCAGACCAACGGAGTCTGTGGTTTCTCCTTGACCAGCGAGTTCTTCCCCCAGAGTAGTTATGCTTGGTGGCCAAACTGCTTGGATATGACTTTGAAGTACAATATAAAAGGGGTGCAGCAAACAAGGCCGCCGATGCCTTATCCCGGCGAGGAACCGCAGCAGACGTCTCCCTTGCGGCCTTGTCTATTCCCCATCATTTTGACATCGAGGGCCTTAAAAAAGAGCAGCAGGCAGACTAGGATTGTGCCCTGCTTATTTCTGCCGTGCAGCATGATCAGCCCCTGCGCGAGGGATATGGGATTCACCAGGGTTTGCTCTACTTCCGGGATCGCGTCGTTCTGCCTCCATCGTCGGACTGGATCACTCGGGTGCTGCATTATTTCCACGACTCGGTGGTTGGAGGGCACTCAGGGTTCCTGCGGACATACAAACGGATAGCAGCCGTTTTCTTTTGGAAAGGAATGAAGAAGGCCATAAAGGATTATGTGGACAAGTGTGAGACGTGCCAACACTCGAAGACGGAAGCGTTGTCGCCGGCAGGGTTGTTACAGCCGCTGCCTATCCCAGCTCGAATTTGGGAAGATGTTTCTATGGACTTTATCGGCGGCCTTCCAAAGTCACGGGGGATGGATACCATTTTAGTTGTCGTCGATCGCCTATCCAAATATGCACATTTTTTTTTCCGTTGGCGCACCCCTACACGGCCATCCAGGTGGCTGCCTTGTTTTTTCGCGAGATCGTTCGATTACATGGGTTTCCCCGTTCCATCGTTAGTGACCGTGACTCCACCTTTATAAGTCATTTCTGGCGTGAGATGTTCAGGCTACAGGGCACACGGCTACACCCGAGCATGGCCTATCATCCCCATACGGATGGCCAGACGGAAGTTACAAATTGCTGTTTGGAAACGTATCTTCGATGTTTCGCCTGCGACAAACCGCGGCAGTGGCTATCTTTTTTACCTTGGGCAGAGTATTGGTTCAATACAACGTATAACGCTTCCACCAAATACTCTCCTTTCCAAGTAGTGTATGGCCGCAATCCTCCCCCCCCTGTATCGTTTTCCCGAAGGTTCAACGGCCGTCAATGAGGTTGGTGTTCAGCTCCAGCAGTGCAATCACATGCTGGACACCCTCAAGGAGCACCTACTCTTAGCACAGCAACACATGAAGCATTTTGCCGATCAACAACGTCGAGAGATCAATTTCACCCTTGGAGACTTGGTTTTACTTAAGCTGTGGCCCTATTTGATGAAGTCCATGGCTAGAAAGGTCAATGAAAAACTTAGCCCCCGTTTTAATGGGCCTTTCACCGTTTTGGCTAAGATCGGACCAGTCGCATACCACCTTAAATTGCCGGACAGCTCCAAAATTCACCCGGTCTTCCACGTGTCTCAGCTCAAAGCTTTTAAGGGACAACATTACAATGGTTTGGCACTACCGGAACAGTTGACTGATGAGCTGGAGCTCCTAGTCCAACCGGCCTCGATTTTGGATTATCGCTCCGTTGTTGTCGGGGGGCACCGGGTACAAGAGGTGCTGGTGCAATGGAAGGGGTTGCCGCAGGCAGATGCGACCTGGGAGCCATTAGTAATCGTTGCTGAACAGTTTCCGGACTTCGACCTTGGGGACAAGGTCGAACTGGAGAAGGGGAGTAATGTTAGACCTCCAGTCCTCTAGTTTGTGTATGCCAGAAGGAGTAAGAATGTACAGGGGCAGGAGGGGAATTTAATTAACACTGAGTCAGGGCAAGGGTAAGGGGCGTGTTGTTAGGATACAGTTATGGGTTATGGGGCTGTGTGCCAGGGTAGGATATGGGGAAGAAGTCAGTTAGAGGAGATGGGAATAAATAGTCCTCGGGTACAGAGGAAAAGGTATTGAGAATTAAGTAGAAGATTGAGTCTGTGGAGGTTTGGAGGAGTCCTCGAACTCTCCTCCATCTTTTATTTCCAGCGTTGTATTTGGTTTCCCTGTTCTTGTTTTCCACTGTGATTCAATAAAAGGATCCAGGCCATTTTCCTGGTTAATTTTCAGAATTCTTGCTATACTTCTTAGTTTAATTGCTCTAGGGTGACTAGAACGAAGGGAGTCCTAACATAAAGACTTTGAAGAAATCAAGCTGGTCAAGGAACAACTTAAAGGTGAGTTTGAAATGAAGGAGATGGGGCCTACAAGTAAGATTTTAGGCATGCAGATCATAAGAGACGAGTCAGAGGGAACACTTTTTGTGTCTCAACATAGTTACATTGAGAAAGTGTTAAAAAGATTCAATATGGATCAGTCAAAGCCTGTTTTGACACCATTAGGGCAACATTTCAAACTTTCACTAAAAGATGCACCAACTTCTAAAGAGGAGGCTAGATATATGCTGAGGATACCTTATACCAATGCTGTGGGGAGCTTAATGTATGCCATGATCTGTACACGTCCAGATCTGGCCTATTCAGTAAGCGTTGTCTGTAGGTATATGGGAAACCAAGGAGGTCACACTGGGAAGCAGTCAAATGGATCTTCAGATATCTTAAAGGGCCAGCAGGGAAAGGTTTGCTGTATCAGAGACAGGACAAAGGCAACAGTTTGGTGACAGGTTTTGTTGATTCAGGCTATGCTGGTTGTTTAGATACTAGGAGGTCTCAAACTGGATATATCTTTGAGTTTTGTGGTAATACTGTAAGCTGGAAAGCTAATCTTCAACGTGTAGTGTCTCTTTCAACAACGGAGGCTGAATTTATAGCTGTTATAGAAGCTGTAAAGGAGGCTATTTGGATGCAAGGGATGGTTAAGAGTCTGGGATTAGGCAGAACAGTTGCAAAGGTCTTTTGATAGTCAAAGTGGGATCCACTTAGCTAAAAATCAGGTCTATCATGAAAGGACAAAACACATTGATGCAAGACTTTACTTTGTCAGAGAAGTAATTAAAAAGGGTGAGGTGAATTTGGTGAAAGTGGCAACAGAGGAAAATCCAGCTGACATGCTTACTAAGCCATTGCCAGGTTCCAAATTTGAGAATCGCTTAAAGTTGCTTCGAGTAGCAGACTGGAAGAAGACAAGTTAAAATCAAGCCAAGGTGGAGATATGTTGTAAAATTGGCTAGGATTTTAACAGCTCAACAGAGGAAGGAAAAGAAGTGAAGATACATGGGCAAACACGTGGGCAGCTCTACATGATTACTGTGTACTGTAGTATATAGGAATAATACTACAAACAGATTAGTTTTGGAATCAACCAATAGGATTAGAGTTTTATTAATCCGTTAAAACTAAATCTGTAATATATAGTAAGCTTGTACTGTTTTCTTTTTCTAGAGAGAGGTCGGTGTAAGAGAGAACATAGAGACAGAAACTCTAGAGGAGAGAGAAGCTCTAGAGGTTATGCGTTCTTGATTTCCATTAATGAGAATAAAAGCTTTGTTGAGGGATTCTTTCAATTTCGTTTTCTCTTTGATCTGTTGTGTGTGTGGAATTGTTCTGGGAATTTCTAAGGGGCTTTTACAACAATAATAGCTATTTCTAAATCTCTTGATCTAAGTTTTATGATCTGTAATTAAAAATTAAGACCATTCAGTTGTGCTATAACATTGATTTATATGAGAGGGCATCAATTAAAGAAATGCTAGAACAAGTTAATTTTGGGTTGCTAAATACTGATATACACGATATGTGGTACAGTGCATAGATGCATATCCAAAAATGAGCAGTGAAATGAAGAAACTCTATTACAACAAAGGGCTTGCCTGCAACAGATCTCCAATGTTCACTACAAGAGCCCCGGGGACAGGAGGCACGTCTATCCACCGGTTTTGCCACAGAACTTGGAGTCCGCCAACATGGTCTTGGAGTAGGATGGTCAGAAAATCAGGGTCAGAGTGTTTGGTAGTTCCCATAGTCAGTTGAGGCTCGGGGCACGGCGGATAGTAGTGACTCAGAACAACATGACCCTTTGCGCAATCCATTCCTATGAGGTGGTCGGGTTTCAGTTCCAGCACCTGCGATAGCAGTTGGAAGAGAGTGGTGCCTAATTTGTGAACTTTATCAGAGTACTCCATGGTTATATCTCTAAAAGATATGTATCAAGAAAGCGGATTAGCTATGATGAGAAATAAAAGAAATAACTGTTTAAAAATGTCTTTGCACAAACTCCCAACGAGGAGCGAATGTGTTATATCTAGATTGCTCTGGTCTTCATATCAGGTTACAAAATGAGATTCTCAATCAAATGAACAGAATCTCTTTTTCTTTTTCCTCATCCTATATTGCAAAATTTTCACTGACATTGTTTCCCTCTCCTGTTTGTTGTGCAAATATCAGCATTCTACAAAAATAGCTTCCTACTCAGAAGCGAAAATCGCTATGAAAATTACTGAAATCATTTGGGTCTTTTTTAAAGCGTTAACACTGTATTGACCAAGATTACAAAGAAAGTATCAAGCCCAAAAATCGAATATCAATTAACAACAATTCAGGACTAATCATGCTAATTAATATATCGATAAAAATAAAAAAAAAAAAAAAAAAAAAAAAAAAAAAAAAAAAAAAAACAAGAAAGAGTGAATATTTAACCAATCCATAAACTCGAAACTCCACAAAAGAAAAAATATGATACAAGTTTTGAGAAGTACTCAATAATTTTAGTTCCAAAGGCAAATTCCAATCCAAGATAACCATTCCAACTTTTCAAATACATGTTACAAAACCAAAAGGGCTAAAATATCTTATCAAACAATGAAAAGAAGTTTCAATCTTGCAACAGAAAATTCAAGTTTCAAACCACCAAATAATCAATACCTGCAAACAAGAGGCAGTTCTTGAGGGTCAAAAGACTCAGGACCCATAACACAAAACAAAGTGTCCCTCCAATTAGCAGCCTTAGACTTGTACAAATCGAAGTTACTCATGTACTTCACTTTTCTCCCCATCTCTCTACTGTAATACTCTCTCTTCATCTCCATCGGCAGCTCGTGAAACCCACGCGCCGCCACCAGCATCGCCTCGAGAACTCCCCCGGGAATGCCGTGGTTCACCACCTGGAAGAACCCCACCTCCTCCGCCGCTCGCCGGACCGCATCGACGGCGCCGGGGAGGTCGCCGAGGTCGACAACCGGAATGGAGAAAGGGGTTTCGTTGCGCTCGGAGTTCTCGGCGGCGAGCTCCTCCGGCGGTCGGATGAAGATGGGAGGGAGTCGGGTGACGCCGGCGTCGACGAGGCCTTTGACGCCGGATTTCGATTCGTCGAAGGTTTTAAGCTGGTGGAGACGATCGTTGACGTTCGTGGGAATGGAATCTCCGGTGAGGAATTCTGTAGAGCCCACCATTTTTTTTGTTTGTCTGTTTGTTCAGTGTGGGACTGTGAGTCAGAGTGAGTCGATGAAATTAATGAAAGTTAGAGAAGACTTATGATTGAGGTCAAAAATCATGTGGTCGAAACGATGAAAGGTGTAGTTGACACGTTTGGCAAAGAAGTTTGATTTCGCACACAGAATATTTGTTACATGTATTTTTTTTTTTTTTTTTTAAATTCAAACTCAATTTTTATGCTATAATATTTTTTTAACGTAAAGTCACTTCTCAGCTTAAATTAAAAAAGTTTAAGAGTCTCTCTAATATGATTAGAAAAAATAAACTACCAGTAGTTTTATACTTTTTAGCTGTTAGATTTTTATCAAAAACTGTCTGTTTTGCATACTTTTTTAATCCGATGTGATTTTGACCAAATTCAATAGTTAAAAATTATCCATACTAATAAGTCAGACTACCAAAAAAGATCTCTAGAAAAAATAAACTACCAATAGTTTTATACTTTTTAGCTATTAGATTTCTATCAGAAACTATCTGTTTTGCATATTTTTTCAATCTGATATAATTTTGACTAAATTTAACAATTAAAAATTATCCCTACTAATAAGTCGGACTACCAAAAAAGACCCCTTGTTCTTAATGTTAGATTAATTTTTGAAAAAAGCTAAATGGCTCCGCAGACTCATGGAGTGGGCTTTATGGCCTTGTGTGGCCCCACCTCATGTGTGTGCGGAACCGCATCTCTGCATAGCTGTTTAGCAAGATGCCCATTTAGTTAGAGGATTTGTTCTCTGATTCGAATTATGGTTCATGATTCACTACAATATTTTTTCTCACAAAAAACACACATAAATCGAAAATGGTTCTAATCCATGAACCAAACGGGCTCTTAATTTTTAATGACTTTTTCTAGTAGGCCAGTTTATGATCTTTAAATTTAGTTAAAATCACACTAAATTGAAAAAATTTACACAGTTTTTGATACAGATTTAACAATTGAAAATAGAAAATTATTGGTAGTTTATTTTTTTGTCATACCGGAAAACTCCTAATTTTGAAACGCTCAGATTTATGGGCTCACTTGGTAAGGAGGCTCTACAGGTTTGAACCAATGGGTTCAATAGAACCTTTATCATGAGACTCTAATGCCCTGTTTATTTCACCGATTCGAGTTTTGCTACAGCAAAAAGCTCTCAGAAACAGTTACATCTAACTTTTTTATTACAATAAAAAGTTTTCACATAAAGTCGCATCTAAATTCGAATTAAAAACTCGAATCAGCGAACTAAACGGGCCCTAAAAACATATTTAGATTGAAATCCTAATGGGACATTTAAACCTCTCTCAACCCTAAAAATGAGAACTCACCTCCCCCTTGAGTTTTGCCTATTTGAACCCATATGGTTCTAACTCCGTTTTTTACACACATAAAAACAAACTTTCAAACCCCACATAACGTAATACATGGTTCAAACTCAAAAGGTTCAAACCACATAAATTTAAACCGACTTATGAAACGAGCCATAAAAATTTTTATGTTAAAACCTTACAATGTACAACACAGAAGTACCCGTACTCACAAGTTAAACAAAGTACAATTAAAAGTTTCCTAAAAAGAAACAAAAAATAAAAAAACATGCAACTTGAAGAATTCTGATGGTGATTGTATGCTTTTGGCCTTTGAAATGTTAAAAAAATGGGAGATTCTTTGATATGTTTAGCGTATCGGTAGGTCTGATTTTTCTAATATTTGCATATGTGTACCTTTTTTTTTTTACTTTTACGTGATTTTATGCAGATTTAACAAACAGAAAACTTGAACTGAATTTATGCAGATTTAACGAATAGAAAACTTGAACTGCCGATACGTTGACGTACCGGAGAAGGTCTCTAAAAAAATAGTCAGTAATATTTACGTAAAAAATTATGTTATTATTGGGACATTGTTGTCTATATCAAATTTCAAAATTTCTTTGTCAATTTTAATCTCAAGTATTAAAATCAAAGTTTAAGGCGTAATCGGTTGAAGGAAAAAAATTGAAAAATCAAATTAACACACTAAAAAGTCTAATAACCACAATAACTACATGAAGAAAGAAGAAAAACACACATTTTCAAGACAAAAAAAAAAAAAAAAAAAAAACCCTAATAAAAGTCATGCACTTTTTATGCACTCTATAATGACACATCGGCAACACTAGAAATATAAAAACAATAATGACACATAAAAGACAGCATGAAATTAACTACGCAGAGAATTTATTGACGCATAAAAGTACTTAGTACCACTACTATTGGTGAAACAGAAGGCCTTTTTTTTTTTTTTTTTTTTTAAAAAAAAAAAAAAAAAAAAAAAAACCCTAAAAAAAGTCATGCACTTTTTATGCACTCTATAATGACACATCGGCAACACTAGAAATATAAAAACAATAATGACACATAAAAGACAGCATGAAATTAACTACGCAGAGAATTTATTGACGCATAAAAGTACTTAGTACCACTACCATTGGTGAAACAGAAGGCCTTTTTTTTTTTTTTCCTTAAAATAGTAACATAAACAATATGTAAAGCTGCATTTCAGCTATTAAGAACCAATTACTTCAGAGCATGAACTGATCTAGTCCAGGTTTACCGTCAAGTCCTTTTGTGTATATATACGAGATATAATCTTGCATAGTCGTTTCTTTGTAGATTGGGGGATATTCTTCTGATAACAACTCTTTGATTGGTCCATAGACTCTTGGTCCACTTTCTTGATCATGTTCCGTATTTCTGAAAACACTTGCCACCGAGATTCTTGGGCCTCCATTTTGTGCTAATACTCTGTGACACACACTTTTGAACTTGCCATTACTGATTATCTGCACATAATAAATAAATAAAACAATGAATTAATCACCATCAATATTATAAATTTCTTCTTACACCAAACATTTTCCTTACTATTTTAAGGCTTAATTTCACTATTTAACCCCGAACATTAAAATATTACAAATTACTCCCGTGTTTGACCAACAAAAAGTATTTGAAACTCAATAAAATCGACCGCGAGACCCCCACATCATGCGGTTGCTTCGGTTGAGCTTTTAATGATATTTTGTGACTAAAGGGTCAAACATGAACCAGAAGTATAATTCAGAGTGTAATTTAGAATGCTTTAAAGTTTAGGGGGCACGGATGGAACATTAATAAACGTAGTTCGGGATTCAAAATTGAAATTAATCCTGTCTTTAAATAAACTTGCCTGCATCATGTCACCAATGTTTACAATTAGAGATCCTGGGGTTGGTGTCACATTGACCCATTGATGTTGATGGAGGACTTGAAGTCCACCAATTTGGTCTTGTAGAAGCACGTTCATGAAGGCACTGTCAGTGTGTTTGGCGATGCCCAGAGTCAAGTCTGGTTGAGGGCAAGCTGGATAGTAATTGCCAGCAAAAAACTGTCCCTTGGCACAATCCATGTCTCCCAAGTGGTTTGGATTCAGCCCAAGAGCTTCTGACAACAATTCCAACAGAGTAAATCCTAGGCTCCTTATTTTCTCCGAGTATGCCATCATTATGTCTCTGCCAAGAAGTTGATTAAGTTCATGTAATTAATGAAACTACTTTAAGAGGGAGATTAATCATCTCCAATGTAAAATACTAATATTATATTTACTATTAAAAAAAATTATAAGGGACAATGTATGATAAAGAGGAAAAGTTTAATGCATCAACAAATTTGAGGCCTTTAAGGCGAAAATTTTTAAAAGGGCCTTTCTTTCATATTAAAAAATTTAAAAATTCAATTAAACCTATTTTAACTTTACTTTTCTTGTCTTTTAAGATGCAAAATTATTGATTGAATCTTTATATTAAAATTTATCTAATATTTTTTTTAAACAAAATAGCTATTGCGAATCTCAAACAATAGTAATAAATAAATTGGCAAGAAAGAAGTATGGAATAAAGATATAAATTTGAAAAGCTCTTGTAATAAGGTTGATGAGTGAGTACTGAGTAGGAAAACAAGTAAAGGCAAAAGCAGGACTCAAAAGAGCTTAATTTTTTTTTCTTTTTTATCCATATATATATATTTTAATTTTTTAGTAGTATGTAAATTAGATATATATGAATATAGTCCTTCTGTTATGGTAGAAAAGTAATTAAAGTGAATATAGCTAGTTGATGTATATTATATGCAGAGCTTAATTTTTAATGCGTAATGCTATATAATAGCATTTCAAATAATATATTTACCTTTTGTTATACTCATGATTAACTTTTTAAACTTGTAAATTAAATTTCGTATTTTTAAATAATTTGAAAATAGTAATGCTGTAGTCTTTAATATATAAAAAGCCTAAGTCAACACAAATCAATAGCAACTATGACGTCAAATTTTTTTTTTTTTTGATATATATTATACTTGATGTAAAACTTTTGTATACATATGAAAAACTTAATACAAAAAATAACACCGGATCAGAAGATGATTTTCCAAGACAAAGATCGATTTATCATTTTAATTTGGATAATCTTGACAAATATCCCTTAAAAGTGCATGAGTCAGGATTTTTACCCTTTACTCTTGATTCATAACTTTTTAGTTAAATAATTACACTAACAAAAAGGTATTTATCAAGAGTTGGGAGTAAAAGTTTAAACTTATACACTTTTAAAGATAAATTATGCAATTTTCTCTATTAAAATTTGGCAATGTATTTAGCGATGGTCTTATGAGATCTTTCTGTGAAAAGATGCTAATAGATTACTGTCATGCTTTCCTAGTTCTCCAAATCTTTTATCTATTTTAGTATCATGAAAAATCGAATTTAGTCGTCATGTATTCCAAAATTCACGACACAAATTCAGCACGCTAAGCATACGAAGTACAATAAAGATAATTAGTGAGTGTATTGTATGAATTCTCTATTATTAAAGGGGCACAAGCTACATGTGATTATTAAGAAAAGTTACAATTATTGTTTTTAGGTGCATTTCTTAAATAAATAACAAACTAGTGGAGCTACGACAATCACATGGCACGATCAAGAATTTTTTAGTCGTATTATCGGTTTTAGCCAATACAAAACAAACCCGAAAATAAAGACAAATAAATAAAAAATAGATCAATACCTGCAAAGTTGAGGCAAATCTTCAGGATTAGGAGGATTTGGAGCCATAGAACAGTAAATGGTGTCCCTCCAGGTAGCCGCAGACGATCGATAGAAGTCGAAATTCGTGTTATACGAAAACTTTTCAGTGTATTCTCTTGTGTAAAACTTCTTCCTAATCTCAGGGTCTTGTTCGTGAAATCTTCTTATTCCTTCAATCATTTCATCCAAAGTGTTTGATGAAATTCCATGGTTGATCACTTGAAAGCAACCCCATTTCTCACATGCTTCTCTAACTTCGTCAACTATTTCCTTTCGAATAGTTGCGCTCTTATTGACGCCTTCAATGTTTATGATTGGAATAGAGTACTTAGAGTCCCCAGAAGCTAACTTAATTTCACCAAGCTTGTCCTTATCATGGATGAAAACTCGTGGAATTCTCGACACCCCGGCCTCTACTAGTCCTTTTACGCCAGTTTTCGCGTCGTCGAACGCCCTCAATTCGCTTTCTCGGTCGTACTTGGTGTGATTTTCAGTCATGACTTCACCCGAGTTTGTGCTCATTTTTCTTGTAGGAGAGAGTGTTTCTAATGGGAGCTGAGGAAAAAGCCGCCTTCTTAATAAAGATAATCAAACCCCAACTACTTGTTTCGTCATTCACAATTCACTAGAAATAAAGATACGTTATATATAGCTCAAATGCTGTCTAAGATAGAATATTTTTTTCCTTTTGGTTCAATGTTTCGGTTTCGCGTGTCCTTTCTTGTTTGTTCTTTCTGGGATAAATTTAATGGTGATCATGACATTATTTACAAGATAAGATAGACTTAATATTAATGGAAAAAAGGAACCACATTAAGGCAAATGAACAACACTAAAAAAGAAGGGGAAAAAAATTAAAAAAAAACCTACAAGAATATTTAAAACGAACGTTACAGTAAAAGCCACCTGAAGTTGAATCCGAATACATTAACCCACTTAGATTCCATTCACTACGTGTATATAACAGAAAAAAAAACATAAGATTAATAGAAACGACATCAACTTCATAAAATAACTAACATCAGATTTAGAAGACGACAACGTTAAGGTCAAACGAAAATATCCGACAGAGATTAATAGAAACGATCAAACTATGATGGCAGAAAGCATAAAACTGGCATCACTTTAAGAAAACGACAACTCTAAGCTTAAACGAAAGATATCTGATGAAGATCATCACTAGTGTTGGGATATATGCCCATAAATCAAATAAGATGTAAATATTTTGCTGATTATCAATGAAATGATGAATTTTTTTAATATTATTTTGCATACATGTGATGTTTTATAAATATCAAAATCCCTAAATTATTTTTTGATGTAACTTTAAACATTGTATATAATTATTATATGCAGAGGATAATGTTTGAAATAAAATAATCTAAACTTGTCCGTAATTATAAATTAAAGTTAGAATCTTTAATTTAAAATTACTAATGCGGTTCATTACATTCTGAATGAAACAATCTTATCCTAGATTGTTAATAATGAGATTATTGAAATGAAAGCATTTTATGTAATATGATTACATAGGACCGGAACGCGATTAATTATGAATCTCTAATAAATTCCGTTATTAAATAGAGTATTCAATGTTAATCAATGATGATCATATATGTATTAATCTTAATTCTTAGTAATTAATAAACTCCTATTTATGATATTATGTTCTTTGACATATTGAGTAATGACACATGTGAATAGTGTCAAAGTCTTGGTATATTGGGAGCATAGTAAAATAAATAGCCGGGAATATTAATTTATAAGATGAAATCCATTCCTTCATAATAAAGTAGATGGACGGTTCCCATAAGTGTTGATTCGGGAATTCAGGCAGAAATTATAAAAACGGCGTCAGCTTAATTAAATGACAACAAAAGAAAGATAGAGATAGGAACGAGGTCGATTGAACTGAAGATGAAAAAAAAATGACAATTAAATGACAGGATTTTAAAAACATTGTAAAGAATCTAAGGCCTCGTTCACTTCGTAGATTCGAGTTTTCAATTCGAGTTAAGATGTGATATTTTTTGAATTCTGAGAGCTTTTCACTGTAGCAGAAAAAGTTAGATGTGACATTTTTTAAGAGCTTTTACTGTAAAAATCTATAAGTGAAAACTTAAATGGTGAAATGAACGAGATCACAGAAAATAGAAAAGGTTAATTTAAAAAAAAAAAAGACAGAACTATTGAAACTTTAAAATTTACCAAGCGTCAACCATCAGCTTAAGCAGACAAGGGACCAGAATTCGTACCACAAAACGACCGAAATAATAAAACGACAGAGATCTTAAAACAACAATGAAATGATAGAATCCTGAAAAGAAAATCAGCTTAGGAAAATGTCATACAATATAAGAAGTTTCGAATATATCACTTTGATATCATGTATTTTTTTTATATAATATTAAAATGGCACCCTTCACGTTTTAGAATATATACATATATATAATTTTGATAGCTAAAGCAGATTTTTTTTTTTTTTTTTTTTTTTTTTTTTTTAAAAAAAAAAGTGTTCTGTTATAAATTTTATAGCGAAAGCAAATTTTTTTTTTTTTTTTTTTTTTTTTTTTGTAAAAATGAAAGGTTCTTAATACCATTTTCTTCTGTTTATTTAATGGGTCTAAACCTAAGGAAAGAACTGAAAAATATCATTTATTGATATATGAACACAAGGAAAATGTTTACTCTTATTTCAGGCCACTTAAAAAAAAGGAGAAACATGTTAGAAAAGACATTTCAGTCCTATAAGACGCTTGCAAGATACTAGGATGACATTGTTTAAAATATTAAGGTACTATTTTGATATTATAAAAAATACAAGGTATGATAAAGTGAGTTTTTTTTTAAGAACACAGATACCAAAGTGACTTTTCTAAATTTAAAAACTGTTGGACTCAAATCACCTGTCCAACTTTTAGGGTATTTTTGATACATATACTCAAAATTAAAATCATGATTCTATTACAGTGTTTTCTTCTAATAAAGAATTTGTATTAATAAAATTTCCGTCAATAGTTCTCTCACAAAGAATTTGACTTAAAACTCAAATCATGGTTCAAATACACTTTCTAAACGAGCCATTGGTGTATTAATTGATGTCTAACTAATCAAATTATGATACATCGTTTAATAGATTTAAATATCAAAGCATGAAAAAGGTACTTAAAAATATATTTCAATTTATTGAATGATATAACACGATTTGATTCATTAGACACGATTCAAGATATTAAAATTAAAAAGGTGATTTAAATTCGTTATTTTCAATGAAAAGCTAAGGAAAGCCAAGACAATTAAACCCCCACGGCTACTTGTTTTGTTTTTCACCATTAATGATCACCAAGGATAAAGAAAGGTGTCTAAAGATATATGGCATATTTCTTCTTTATGGTCCTTTAATATCGGTCGCCTGTGTCGTTTATTGTTTGTTCTTTTGTGGGCTGAAACTAAATGGAGATGACAACTTTTCTTGAATGGATAAACATCTCATGTAAACAACAACAATCAAGCAGACAAAGAAGAGAAGAGCAAATTTGCTAGTAGTTCAAGTTTGGGAATTCATGCAAATTTTGGAAGTAATTATAAAGTCATTATAAAAAACAAAAACTAGAAACATATACGGCATCTTGCAATTGAATGTGAAACTCCTTGTAGGATTTTGGTAGCTAGTCTGAGACAACTAGAGTGAACTAGTAGAATTTCCAACGTCCGTACAATTATACAAAGTAAAAAAAGAAAGGAAAAAAAAAAGAGCTCTTCATGAATAGAGGAATGTCCCTGATTCTCACTGCACCTATTGTATGTAAGCTCAAAAAAGGTAAAATTCTAAACAAAAGTGGAACGATCAATACTCAAATTCCATTAATTTGGTTTTCCAATCACAATCATAAAGATATATAAATTAGATTGAGTATAATTCTAAATTCTAGTTATTCACTGTCAATGACTCTTCTTCTAATTTACCCATGAAAAAACTACAAATGTGAGGGCCAAAAGTTGTCTTCTTCTGGGCCTGCTGGCTAGTAATGGCCCATGAATACTAGTTCCTTCCTACAACCCAAAGAATGTCCAAGTGGTTTGGATTAAGCTCAATTGCTTCTTCCAAAACATTATGTTCCCTTAGTTGAGACTTCAGAGTAAGAATTCATGTTCCAGTAAAAGTTCATCATTTTACCCCCAAGAAGAAAAGTAAAAATTCATCAAGCTCTTGCAGTGAAAAGGTGTTTGATACCTGAATTCGTACCAAGCCTATTAAGGATCCAGGTTTAATTCTTTTCGTCCTGCGACGTTATTGGACTCATTTCGTAGACCCAAGCCACGCTTGGAGAAATCATGTGGGTTATGGTTTGGTGGGCTATGAGTGATCACATAGGCCCATTTGTCCTTAATTTGACCAACTTTGACACCTGCTCGGGGAGTTTTTCAAAATTAGTCAAATTAAACATGAATGGGTGATGGAGGATTCAACTCAAGAAAGCCTTACCTTGTCTTTGGAAGCTCAAAATTCTTTATTTCAGTCCTTGAAAGGCCCAAAACCCAAGCATGATCCTTCAAAAATTTTCTCCAACTCAAAGACGTGAGAAATCCATTAGTTTTTACTCATTCAGAGGCTTTTCTCGCAATTAGACATGCCTCTCGGAGCACTCCCTGTGTCAAGCATGCTTTCCAGCTGTTCTCCATATAAGGTTGTCCATTCGGAGCACTTGTGCACATTTAGTGCAACTTGGTGTCAGAGCTATCTATTGTCAGAGAAAGTATAATGGCTACTTGGTCATTCTCGTACAAACAATCTCTGATGAACGTTTGACACATGATGAGACCCCAAAAATAGAAAGTCTTTGGAGCACTTGGTTGAGTTAAACACTCTCGGAGATTTCAGGTCTGAAGTCACTTCACGTCAGCTTAAAATCTAGAACTTGGCCTTCAAGTATTTCCACTTCTAAGGTTTCATTTATCCTCCTTCGACAAGGTGGCTGGGATTTTACTCCAAACGGAATTGCTTGTGCCTTACTTCGTCAAAACGCCGCCGGAGCAAATTTCTATAAACTTTTCATCCCATCTTTGGTGAGTCTTTGTCAAAATCGAAAAGCTATCTGATACCTTTCCTCTGAATGAGAATGCTCCGTCAGCCAGCCGCCATTTCATCCATTCGAGAATCTTCCATTCCATTTCTGGACCATCTTTTTGTCAAACTAAGAAAGGCCCCTGATAGCCTTCCTCCAAATGAAAATGAGTATTCAAACCTCCGTCAGAACAGTTGTCAAGCATTCGCATCTCCACTTATAAATACTCCATTGTCTTCTTCATTTCAACAACACAAGACCAACACACCTACACTTCAGAAAACACATCAGAGTGCTGAAACTCTCCCTTTGAGTGCTTTCTTCAAGTGTTTTGCTACAAACACTTGGAGTTTTCTTCAAGTTCTTGAGGAACCTCATAGTTTTTAAGTGTTGACCTGCTTAGAAACTCCTCAAGAACACTTTTCAATCATCTTCCAACACTGCCTAAGAGTATTC